GGACTTTGAGATTCTTCAAGTTGTTGCAAAGGATTGTAGTGTGTGCATTCTTGTGTTCTGGTATTTTCTCCCTGGGGTGGGCATTCCGACCTGGGCCTGCTGTAGCAGTGCCGTGACCAGCCTGCCAACCTGCTATGCCTTTTGGTGAGCAGACGCGCAGTTTCCTCGTGGGTATCCACCTAGGATTGGAATTGCTGGATCATCAGCCAGGCACATGTTCAGCTGCGTGGCACTTTATCAGCTTCTGAGTCAGCTGGCAACATTTGGAATTTGAGAGATTTAGCATAAAAATCAGGGTTGTAGCTCTTCTTTCAAAAGGTAAAGATTCTCAGCACTGGACCCACATTCCACCTTCATGAGCTGGGCGTTTGTGCGTTGCCGCAGCACCCAGCCAGCCCATCTTGTGTCATCCACCTGGCTCCTGGGGGCACCTTCACTCCTCGGCTACAAAAAAAATCTGAGTGTGCTTTTACTTCAAGTCCATAATTAATATATTGAGCTACCTTGGTTTCCCCAGTGAGGTGATGCTGAATGACCTTAGTGGCCTGGAGACAGTGATCAGGCCATTCCAGGGGGTCCGTGGCCTTGGTCGCTATCCAAATCTCCTTGGTGGGTTATGGCTGAGGCTGAGACAGCTGCCAGCAGGGTAGGGCCCACCAATGGCCATCCGTCCAGCACCTTCTGTGTGGCTTCTCCTGTCTATTCCCACTATTCTCCTGGCCTCCCACTTCTCCAGCCCCATAGCCACTGCCTCATTCACCCCCCTATCACCTCCTGCCAAGTCTGACAGATGATCTCCTCCTGGTTGGCTCCTCTCTCCTACTGGTACCAGGATGCCTTTTAATTTAAGTTAAAAAAAAATGGGGGCACTTAGGTGGCTCAGTGGTTGAGCATCTGCCTTTGTCTCAGAGCGTGATCCTGGGGTCTTGGGATCAAGTCCCTCATTGGGCTCCCTGTGGGGACCCTGCTTCTCCCTCTGCCTGTGTCTCTGCCTCTCTGTGTGTGTGTGTGTCTCTCATGAATAAATAAATAAAATCTTAAGTTTTTTTTAAATCAACACATTATGGGTTTTAAAAATTCAACAATACAAAATGATACAGAGAGAAAAGGAAATCCTCCCTCCTTCTCACTCTTTCTCTAAATCTCTCAGTTGCCCTCTTCAGAGGCAACCCCAGTTTCCAGTTTTTTTTTACCTGTTTGTGAGAAATACATATTCTACGCACACACACACTCCTCTTGTCTATTTTTATACAAACTAGGGCCTTCAGTATGATGATCTGTTCTGCACCTTGCACTTTATGCATCTTGCTGGTCCTTCCACGTCAGTTCAGGTAGACTCCCCTGGTTCTTTGTAACATCTGCAGAGCTCTCTCTTGCCTTCACAATCACCATCTGTTTAACCAGTCCTTTAACGAGGGCATTTCAGTCATTTCCAATCCATTACTACCACAAGCAATGCTGTAACGAATGCCTTTATATGTCTATCTTTGCGTGCGCCTATCTGCTTAATAAATCTTAACTGGTTGCAGGTCACAGGGCACCTGCGTTTCTTATTTAGATCAATATCCAAGCTACCCTTGACAAGACTCGATCCGATTTGCATGACCTTGAGCAATGCCTGAGTGAGATAAAGTGAGCCCAGGTCACACACACACCTGATCACATTACTCCAGACTTCAGGCACCCAATCCCACCCCCAGCTGCATATTAGAATCACCACAGGGAGATTTCAAAGCGATCTTACAGGTAGGGCCCCAAACCCTTAAGTTTTGGTTTCACTGATCTGGATGTGGGCCAAGCGCTGGAGTTTAAGATGTGTGCAAATGCATTCTGGATGTGGCAAAAGGAACTGGGCACATTCGATTAAGTTAAGGATCTTAAAATCCAGGGATTATCCTGGCTTATCCAGAGGGCTCAATGTAATCACAAGGGTCCCTATCAGAGATCAGAGAGAGGTGGAAGGGTCAGAGAGGAGATGTGAGGACAGGCGTAGAGGTCTGAGTGATGCGGCCACCAGCCGAGGAATGTGGGCAGCCCCCTGGGGCTGGGGACAGTCTGTCCTCTGTCGCCCCCAGCAGTCCTGACGACATTGATCTTAGCCCCTTAAGACCCACATTGGATTCCTGGCTTTCAGAACTACAAGATAATACGTTTGTGTTGTTCTAAGCCACAGTGCTTGTCGGTTCTATCACAGCAGTCCTGGGAGACTCACTGTACGTGGTGACCATGGCCCATCCCTTATCAGAAAAAATTTGGCAGTTCGCAGCCCCTCAGAAGAGACAGAGCATGAGCTGCCAGAGGCTGTCCTATAACCAAGACCTGCTGGAGAGGCCGGGCCAGGCCACCTTCCCTGGTCACATGAAACGGAGGGATCCGGGAACAGGAAGGCAGTAGCATTACCTTAAAAGATGTTTGGAACTTTCCAAGCCACGTGGAGGAACTCTGCTAGTGGTCTGGGCAGGGCCTGGTGGGCTTGGATACCAGGCTACAATCAAAGGTCCTCCAGCCTTGGCAAAGCGACAGCACTGGGGCTATGGAAAGAGCACTGGACCATGAGTCCTAACTCAGCCTGGCTCTGCCACTGACTGGCCGTGAGAGCTCTGACAATGATCCCCTCGTCTCCTCTCTGAGATATGAGGGGCTTGTATCAGAGCAATCCCTTTCTGTCTCTCTTTTTTAAAAACTTCTTAATGGCGGTCAAAACTTTGTAAACTCTTGTAACTCTTGTAAAACTTGTAAACTCTTTCTTGTGCGACTTGGGCAGAAGTTAAGATAATACTCAGAATAACAGCAAAAATTTAAATGGGACTTCCTTCACACCGGGTGCTCTTATAAGAGACTTACAAGTGAAAATTCACTTGTTCGGTCCTCACAACAAATCAATAGGTGGGGGCTATTGTTTTCATTTCATAGATGAGGAAATTGAAGCACAGAGAGGTAAAAAATTTACTCAAGTTCACCCAGCAGGGAAGTGTTAAATTCTTGATTTAGGGGCACTTGGGTGGCCCCATCAGTTAAGCATCTGATTCTTGATTTTGGCTCAGGTCGTGATCTTAGGGTCATGAAATCAAGCCCCCTGTCAGGCTGTGCACTGGGTATGAAGACAGATTCAGATTCTCTCTCTCCCTGTCACTCTGCCTCTTCTCTCTTTTTCTCCTCTCTCCCCCTCTCCTTCACTAAAAATTAATTAATTAATTAATTAATTAATTAATTAAATTCTTGATTTGGGACGCCTAGGTGGCTCAGAGGTTGAACTGTGCCTTTGCCTCAGGTCGTGATCCTGGGGTCCTGTCTTTCATGAAAGAATAAATAAAATCTTTAAAACAAATTAATAAATAAATTCTTGATTTGAACCCACGCACTCCAGATGCAAAGAGGACTGACTGAGAGGCTGGGACAATTAGCCAGAGGTTAAGGTGGGATCAATAATAAACAGGGGAGGTAGGGAGACAGGGAGAGAGAGAAGGGGGGAAATCCAGCATGAGCTGGAAAGGTCATTTTGGAGTCTGGTTTATGAGAAGTGTTGGAGGAGCCCTGGAGTCTGAGAGAACTGGGGAGTCTGGGGAAGGGTGTAGAGCATTTCCATCACTAACAGGTGCCCTGCGGTCTCCCTCAGTGTCCAGAGGGTGAAGCCTGGGCCATGTGGGGTCCTGGTATTTTTGGAGTCACACTCAGACACTCACTACAGGAGACCAGTCAGAGAGGAGCTGCCACACTGAGGCAGGGAGTCCCACCCCCGGGTCGAACTCAAAGTCTCTTTCGTATGCAGATTCCAACTGGCAAGGTGACCTTGAGCAAATCTCTTGCCTGGACCTCCCGGCCTCATCTGCAAAACGGAACTGATAATAACTCACCTTCGGAAGCCAAGAGACTGGGCCCCAGAACCTCTTAAGAAAATTAAGAAGAGCCAATGTACATCGAGCACCTACAGGGGAAGATGGCTTTGCAGTCTGCACCATCACGGCTTCGACTGTCCTCATCTGACCACTGAGAAAACTGAGGCCCAGAGAGGTGAAGGGAATGACCAAGGACACACAGCACGGTGGTGCAGAGCTGAGGCTAGGACCCAGGTCCTGGAATTGGGCCTCCTCCTCCGGGAAGCCAAACCAGGAAGCCAAACCCACAGCAGAAGCCTCTTCCGTGGCTTCTGATGTGACCTCTCTGAACCATTTCCATATGTTTTACAAACAAGGAAACTGAGGCTCAGAGGCACTAAGTCACCTGCCCAAGATCACCTGGCTATTCACCAGGGAGCAGGGGACCTGGGCGTGCATGACTCCACACTCACCCCTCCTCCTAGTCCAGCACACAGCCTCTGGAGCTCCCACCCGGCACTCGGATGCCAGGCTTCTCTGGCTGAACCTGTCCCTGGGCTGGTGAGAAGCAGGAGAGTCCCCCCGGCAGCCTTTACCCGAGCACCTCCACATCATCAGCAACCCCCAGAGCCTCCAGGGTGCGGGGACAGGTAGCTGCAGATGCCCCGGCTCTCTGCTCCAAGTCGCCCTCTGCTTCTTCTGAGTTATGCTCCTCCTTGGAGGGGAGGGAAGGACAGCTCTCCTTGCCTCCCAGGCAGTTGGCAGAGCCGCGCGGCTGCTGCTGCTCCCGGCAGCCTGGTGATGGAGAGATTATTTCTAAGCCATCCCCCCCCCCGCCCCCGCTTCTCTTGCAGGACCACACTGGCTGTCCCTGTGGGGCTTGGAGCGCAGAGCCCACTGCTGAAGCAGGACAGCTGGCTGGCGCCTTCCCAGCATGAACCCCTTGGACTCTCACCTCTCACGGGGGAACGGGCTTCGGGGTCCTTGTAAAAACCCCAGCCCACTGCCCGGGGGCCGTGCTGTGGCTGCTGGAGAGAGATGCAGAATGAATGTACCTCTGCTTTCGGGAAGAGGCAAGGCAAGAAAGGTTGGAAACTAACTCTGCCAGAAACTGCCGTGTTCAGAATTTTTCTTTTCTTCTCCTTCATCTCCACCACGAACCTGTCTCTTCTCCGGCCACTGAGACACGGGCTCCCCTCGCCCGGCAGAGAAACAGCTGGAAAAGGTTCCCTGAGACGAGAAGGTGAGTTAAACTTCAGGGGAGGAAGTTAGTGTTTGCTGCAGGGCTGGGGGTTTGCAGGACACTGTTACCATCCTTGTCCAAAGCTCTGTTTTGAACGAATCCCTTTCCTGGGCTCTGGACGGAGTTTTGTGCACCTGCTGTTTCGGGGGGCCGTGGATGGCAAAGTTGGGTCTGCACAGTGAATGCAGACAGGGCAGGTTTTTTCTTTTCTTCTTCTTCTTCTTCTTCTTCTTCTTCTTCTTCTTCTTCTATTTATTGTGTTTATTTATTTTTGGTAGTGGTGGTGGGGGCAGTGTTCTAGAAAGAGCCCCAGGCTGGGAGACAGAGTCCAGGGTTGGATTTGGATTCACTGCGTGACCTTGGACAAGTCACTTCAGCTCCCTGAGTCTGGGGCTTTGCACTCGGAAAATGAGAATGCTCGGGAGGGACTCCCCAGATTTCAAAACAGTCTTTTCTCTCTGCAGGCTGCTCATCTTCCTCTGGCCATACGTTGTAAAGGAAGTAATGCATGCAGAGTAACAGAACACTGCGTGGTGAGCGAGTGTGAAATGCTCGGGCTGTGATTCAACTCTTCGCTGCCTGCCGGAATCCAACTGGCTCTGAAATTGAGAGGAACTTTTATTTCCATTCAGCTGTCGAGTTCTTCTCTTGATTGGAGTGCATATTGGAATGTAAGGTTATAGATGCTCTGGAAACAGCTCTGACCCGAATGAAGAGTGTAGGAAATGGTTGCAGGGGGCCGAGGATGACAGAGGTTTTGGAGATTTTTTTTTTTAAATGCACGGGCTACATCTAAAACCCTTATTCTAGTCAAGTGCCTCAAATAAGTCTGAAATGGAGAGAGCATTAGAGGCCCCTTCACTTTGCAGATAACAAGACCAAGGTCCAGAGAGGGGGAGTCACTGGCTTAGGGATTCATGGCAAGGGTGGCTACGGCCAGCGCTCCAAGAACGTGGAGCAGAGCTGTCATTGATAGCAAAGTCCGAGGAAGCAAATAAGGTCATTGTGGAGCTGCTCCTAGGGGGCAGACACTCTGCCAAGCACTGTCACATTCCTCATTACTTTACCTTTCGGTGCCTCAGTTTCCTCATCTGTGAAATGAGCATACTAATGTTTATGTCACGTTGTTGTTGCGGTGAGTTAATATAGAGGAAGCAGGTAGATTGGTGCCTGGCATCTGAGAAGTGTTCTAGAAGTGTTCCGAAGAAGCGCCTCATGTATATTATTGCACGTAACCCTCCCCGTGCCCAGGGAGATGGGTCCTCAAACTACCCCAGCCTGTAGGGATGACTCACGGAGGCTGAGTAATCCGCCCGGGCCGGCAGTCCCTAAGGGATCAGAACCCAGCGGTGAAGTCAAGAAACACTTTTTAAGCTCTATTTTACCAACTGTGCCTTGTAAGTTTGGTACCAGACTTGTCATTGGCATGAATGAAGCTGAGCTCAGAGAGGTTAAGCCACATGCCCAAGACTGCAGAGCCTGGAAGTGGCACAGCTCTGACCGGGGAAGGGATGCCATCATCTCCTTTTGTTCACAGGTAGATCCCAGGTGTGTAAGAGGTGCTCAATAAACCCGTGAAGCAGCGGCAGCAAAGGTAACAGGAGGCAGTGTCCTGGCCCGAGACTGATTTCTCCCCGTTGTCTTGCAGAACATCTCCAGCGATGCCCATGCCCTTCAGAGCCAGGGGGCTGCCTCCCGGGCATGGCCACCGGGCCTCCTGCAGCCCCCTGAGTCCGCTCCTGCCTGGCCCCCTGCACCCGCCCCCCGCCAAGGGCCTTTACTACCGCAGGGCCCGCCAGGTGGGCGCCCTGGACGCCTCCCCGGCCGCGGACCTGAAGAAGGAGATCCTGGTCAACGTCGGGGGCAGGCGGTACGTCCTCCCCTGGAGCACCCTGGACGACTTTCCGCTGAGCCGCCTGAGCAAACTCAGGTTGTGCCGCAACCACGAGGAGATCTCACAGCTCTGCGATGATTACGACGAGGACAACCAGGAGTTCTTCTTTGACCGGAGCCCCAGTGCGTTCGGCATGATCGTGAGCTTCCTGGCGGCCGGCCGGCTGGCCCTGCTGCGGGGGACGTGCGTGCTGTCCTTCCGGGAAGAGCTGGCCTACTGGGGCATCGAGGAGGCCCACCTGGAGAAATGCTGCCTGCGCGAGCTGCTCAGGAAGCTGGAGGAGCTGGCCGAGCTGCGCCAGCAGGAGACGCTGCACCTGCAGCAGGAGGCCAGGCGCCCCTCGGGGGACCCCTCTCGCTGGGGGGTCTTCATGCACTGGCTGCGGGAGACCGTGGAAAACCCGCACTCCGGGCTCCCCGGCAAGGTCTTTGCTTGTCTGTCCATCCTCTTTGTGGCCACCACAGCGGTCAGCCTGTGTGTCAGCACCATGCCCGACCTGAGGGCCGAGGAAGACAAGGTGAGTGGCCCCTGACCACCGGGCATTGGGCCCAGTGCCCACGGGACTTAGGGGCCCGTGAAAATGTCTAAGTATCTTTAAAAACAACAGAAAAAGAGATTATCATCTAATGTGGATTGGATGCATTTTTAGACCAATGCAGTTGTGAAAGATCATTTTTAATGTTAATTATTATTTATTATTATTATTATTATTATATTGGAGGAAAAGGCTCATGGAGTGCCAAGGGCCCACAAAAGTCATGAGGTGGCTTTGCCCCATAGTGGGCACGGTATTCACAAGCCCCCCCATGGTGTTCGCAGGCCAGGCAGGCCCGGCTTGCCTCTCCCGGCTCTGTGGACCACAGGCAAATTGCTTCAACCCCCTGAACCTTGGTTTCATCCTCCGCAAAACGGGGAACCATCGCTGTGAGGGTTCACACACTCCACACACTTACCACGTGTTTGCTGAGCGGCTACTCTGTGCCATGTACTGTCCCTGGCCCAATCCCTGCCTTCTTGAGCCAATGTGGTGGGCATCCCAGCTCCACATTCAGGTGGAGAAAGCGAGGCACCGGGCCTTTAGCTTTTTTCTTGGAGTTACAGAACCAAGATTCTTGGCTCTCAGTTTACCTGCTTGTTACGTGGGTCCTGAGCTTCCCAGTCAGTCTCACTGGATGGGGGGAACTCAAGGATGAGTTAACTTCTAAGTTACTGTGCCCCAGGAAGCAACAGCAAAATAGGTTTTCCTGCCCATTCTTGCTCTCTTTTTCCAGGAACTTGTAGGAGATTCCCCAGGGGCCAAGTAGTCTGAGAAATGACATATGATCTTAACATTTCATTGGGAAGTTTATTAGAGAGCTTGAAACTCAGAACTGGATTTGTTTCCTAATTGAAAATGTTGCTCCTGTCCTGCTCTACATTCCTCCATGGTTCCCCCTCACCCTAATTACGGAACTTACATTACAGTAGATGGAGGGAACTGATAAAAAGAACACATATATATGATGAATTAACCCTGTGGATGGCCCATAATTGTCAGTTGACAATTTAAGGGAAGTTCCCTTCCCTTGAAGATATAGCCCAGGGCAATATAGTAGAATCTGGAGAACTTTCCAGAAAGAAAGGATTTAAATGGAGAACCAGATCCTGGCTGGCACAGGGTAGGCTCTCAATAAATATGTGTGGGAATAACAGGTATCTTGTGCAACCTATAAATGTTTTGTCCTACAGCAAACCAACCAAAACGTTTGACTTTCAGCTCCCCCACCCCACCCCGGGGGAGGACTATAGCTCCAAACACAGACATTGTTTTATTCTTTGGCACCAAATCATGTGATTTAAGAGCCTGCTCGTTCGCAGAAATATTTACACTTGGACACTGCAGTAAAAAATTAGGACAAAATAAGTGGCCTCTGTCCCCCGTCCCCAGAAGGACGCCCTTGATCTCAGCTGCTGAGGAAGGACCCCTAGATTTCTATCAACCTGTTCCTCAGGGATTTCCCAGAAGCCAGGATTTAGAACGTGCAGAGGGACAAGGTCTTTTCAAAGCCTAATACTCTGAAAATTACCCAAGGTTTGAACCTAGGCTTTGTTGACTGGGGACTCTGGAGATCAAATCAGAGGTCACTGGGAGGCCCGCAGGCCCAGCAGGCCCCAGTCTGGGCTCAGGAGCTCCTGGGATAAAAGGAGGTGATGCCCATGGCCCGGGTCCCCGTCTGCGCTTTCACCTTGTGGAAACCACCTCTGTGTGTGCTTGCTCCCTGGAGAGAGGCTGGGAGGTGCTATCCTCAAAAAAAGTGTGTTTCCCTGTTTAGATGGTGATTTAAAGAACCAGGAGGCTGGGGAGGCGGTCTTTTTTTTTTTTTTTTCCCCAAGACTGCCTTACATTTACATAAAAAGATAATGTTCTCTCTAGCACCAAGCTTGTCCGATATTTCGTATTTGCCCTCAGGGATGTTCAGCTGGCCAGCTGCTTCTGGGGGCAGGCCCTGCCAGGAGGCCTGGGGGCCACATCGTCCTGGGGGCCTAGCAGCATCCATCTGTTCAGATGAAGTAACACCACAGGGGTCGAGAGACACGTCAGGACTGGGACCCACAGACCTCCTCCATCAGACACAGTGTCGTGCTGGGTGGCAGAGGCAGCTTTCGTTTTGCTTTTCCTTCTGTCTTTTTCCAGTGACCTCCCATGGAGTAAACTTGGCAGTTGGGTCTACACTCAAGGTTGGTAAATTACAAAAGAAGAGGGAGGAGGCCCTGTAGACAACAAGGACCATGCCACGTGCCTAGGCACCTCCCAGGTGCATCCAGCTTTTCCCACTTTCCTTGGAAGAGCTCAACCCAAAAGGGAGGAAAGCACCGGTGCTTATTTATGTGGCCTCCATGAGGCTGGCATGGGATCAATGGACTTAATCTTTGAACAACATTTCAAGAAATAGGTATTACTACCACCTCCATTTTACAGATGAGTAAATTGAGGCTTGGGCAACATTTATCCTTTTCTTTTTTCTTTTTCTTTTCTTTTTTTTTTTTTTTTTTTTTCATTTATCCTTTTCTAAAGCTCAGTTAGTTATGTGAGCCAGGATTGAGCTCATCTACCAGCTGGTTCTGAAATCTGACTCCTTAGGGTCACACAACACTGACTTTCAGGGCTGGGCTGCTCTACCTCTGGTCTGGATGCTCAGCTCCGCAGCATTTGGCATTCTGAGGCCGCTGGGGTTTGAGAAGCACGGCCCTGTCCAGCAGGATGGTTCAGAGTGCAGGTCCTCTGGGTTTGAATCGTGGCCTCACGACTCATGAACTCAGTGATCTCGGGGGAGTCCCTTAGCCTCCATGAGCCTGTTTGGTCATCTGTAAAATGGGGATGCTCCCGGCCCTCCCCCCATGGGATTATGATGAGGATTCAGAGTGATTTGCACACAGCGGTGGGAACAATGCTGATGCGTGAGAGGCATTTAATAAACATCAGTCCCATTAGTATTCACTCGTTAGGTCCTGGTCAACAGGATATCACAACGTCCCCCCTTCCCTTCCTTCAGCAAGCTATTGAGTGCCTACAAATGATGCTCTTCTAGGCGCTGGAGACAATAAGATACATTTCCTACCTTCCTGGAGCACTTATGCTGGCCATCCCGGTCCCTGGTTTTTAATCGAGGTGAAAATCACATAAGGTAATATTAACCACCCAAAACTAGACGGCCCAGTAGCATTTGGTACATTTACAATATTTTACAGCCTCCACCTCTATCAAATCCCAAAACATTTCCGCTACTCCAAAATAAAACCCCATCCCCATTAGCACTCACTCCCCAATCCCTCCCCGCCCACCCAGCAACCAGCGCTGGGCCTCCCGCCTCCGTGAATTTCTCTATTCCAGACATTGTACGCAAACGGAATCACACCCTTGTGGCCTTCTGTGACCCCCTCTGTCACTCAGCGTGGTGTTTTCAGAGCCCATCCGCGCCGTAGACTGTACCAGGCCGGGCCAGCACAGGATGAAGATCCTTCTGAGGGCCCAGTAATATTCCACTGTCGCTGCAGGCCACAGTTGGCTTATCCCATCATTCAGGGACAACTGCCACGGTCTCCGAGGCTCCACGCTTCCCTCTGCCTGTGTCCTCGGTCATGACCATCAAGCTGGTCATTCATCCCCAGCCCCCTTGCCATGTGGCCACGGCCCTGGCCGGACAGCTGGGCTGGTCAGGGCACTTCCCTCCCTCTGGATGGAGCACCTGCTCCGCCTCTCCTGACCGGTGCCTTCCTCCCTGCTGCTACCCGGATCCAGCAGCTAGGCGGTAGCTAGCGCGCCAGGGAGAGGAGCCAGGATCTCTAGCTCCTCCGGGCAGAGTTCAGATCCCAGCACTGCCGCGCCCTGGCTCCGCCCTGAGACCAGTCACTGTCTTGTCCTGTGCCTCTGTTTCCTCACCTACTCAGAACCCGGTGCTGAGGACCGAACGGTCCTAGTCATCACGCACCCGCCAGCAGGGAGCCACCCCTGGCTGCGTTTACACCCCCTTGGGGACTCAGCTCACACCCCTCCGGCTCCTCCACCTGCCCGTCCGCTTGGCCCATCAGCCTCTCCCAGCCACGTGAGCAGCCGGTGGCTCAGACGTCTTCTCTGTTTTATTGTCCATTCAGTCGTGCGTTCAGCAGACCTTTCCCGAGGGCCTCCTCTGTGCCCGAGACCCAATGGTGACAAGTATGGGCACAAGTCTCTCTCTACCCCCAGCTCAGCCTTCGCTCGTTTCTCCTCCACTTTAGATTCTAGTCCTGCCCTGGAGGTTTGCTGGGGGCGTTCAGGGACCTTGCTGTGGGAGATGCGCGCTGATCCCAGAGGCGCAAAGCGCTCTCCCTCCTGCCTGTGCTTCCAACATCTTGCTAAGGGCCGGGGAAAGGAGGACGCAGACAGATTTTTTTAAACACCAGGTGGAACTATAGGGGCCCCTCGCTGGAACGATGCCCTTTCTTGGGTGGGTCACCGAAGTCACCCCATGGGGTGCCATTTCCACCGCTTCCCCTTTCACGGAAAGCCTCATGCTGGAGCCAGCTCTCCTCCCCTGCCACTTTCTCAGATCATGAATCAGCTCCATAAAGAACTGCCTCGCTCTCAGTAGCTTCCCCGTGTTTGGTGACATTTGGTGATTGCTCCAGGGGATTCTTCTTAAACTGGCTTTTCGGTTTTGGGTTTTCTTCTTCCCCCTCCAGCTTCGTCTCCCTATATCAGGACCAGCAGGCAGAGTTCCCCACTCCCTGGACAGGACCTACTCCTCCTGCCTCACTGTGGCTCACCTGCTCTTCCTGCCTCATCACGTGTCCCTGGCTCCGTGCCCAACCCCGACCCCCATCTGCCCTCTGGCCCATGCTCCCAGAGCCCCTGTATTCTAGAGCTGGGGTGCAGGAAAGAGAGGGGCAGAAAGGAGCATGACCCCGGGGGGGTGGGGAGAGGACAGAGAGAACTGGTTCCCAGGGAAAGGGTGAGCCGGGCCGAGGAATGAGTCAGCAGGGTGAGGAAGCCACTCTGGA